TAGCTAGTAGTTTTTTGTTTATCCTTTCAAAGAACCAACTTTTCCTTTTGTTGATCCTTTGTACTGTTTTCTTGGTTTCAATTTCATTTAGTTCTGCTCTGATCTTTATTATTTCTTTTTTTCTGCTAGCTTTGGGTTTGGTTTTCTTTTTTCAGTTTAACATGGTACTAGAAGTCCTAGCCAGAGCAATCGTGCAAGAGAAAGAAAGAAATAAAAGGCATCCAAATCGGAAAAGAGGAGGTCAAACTATCCGTGTTTGCCAATGATATGATATACCTGTAAAATCCTAAAGGCTCCTCCCAAAGACTCTCAGAATTGAGAAATAAATTCAGTAAAGTCTCAGGTTACAAAATTAATGTACACAAATCAGTAACAGCATTTCTATACACTAATAACAGTTAAGGTGAGAGTCAAATCAAGAACTCAATACCATTTACAATAGATACAAAGAAAATAAAATACCTGGAAATATATTTAACTAAGAAAGTGAAAGAGCTCTACAAGAAAAACTACAAAACACTGATGAAAGAAATCAGAGATGACACAAATGGAAAAATGTCCCATGCTCATGGATTGGAAGAAACAATATTGTTAAAATGTCCATACTGCCCAAAGTGATTTACAGATTCAATGCAATTCTCATCAAAATACCAATGCCATTTTTGACAGAATTAGAACAATCCTAAATTTCATACGGAATCAAAAAAGAGCCCAAATAGGCAAAGCAATCCTAAGCAAAAAGAACAATCTGGAGGCATCACGTTTCCAGGCTTCAAATTACACTGCAAGGCTACCAAAACAGCTACAAGGTAACCAAAAGGCTACAAGGTAACCAAAACAGCATGGTACAGGTATAAAAGTAGACACACAGATCAATGGAACAGAATAGAGAACCCAGAAATAAAACCTTATAGCTACAGTCAATTTTTGACAAAGCAGACAAAAACATTCACTGGGGAAAGGACACCCTATCGACAAATGGTGCTAGGAAAATTGGATAGCCACAGGCAGAAGAATGAAACTGGATCCCTATCTCCCAATTTATATAAAATTAACTCAAGATGGATTAAAGACTTAAATATAAGACCTGAAACCATAAAAATTCTAGAAGAAAACACAGGAACTCTTCTGGACATTGGCCTAGGCAAAGTATTTATGACTAAGAC